TCTAATCAAAGCTATGGTTTTTCCAGTAATCATGAATAAATGTGAGAGTTGGATCATAAAGAAGGCTGAGCGTCGAAGAATTGTTGCTTAGGAACTGTGATGTTGGAGAAGACTCTTGAGACCCTTGGACTGCCAGGAGATTAAACCAGTCAATCCTAAGGGAAATCAGTCCTGAATATTCATTGGAAGGACTGAAGATGAAGCTTCAATACTTTGACCACCTGATGCAAAGAGCCAACTCATTAGAGAGGACCTTGATACTGGGAAAGATTGAAGGCAGGAGGAGGAGGGGACAAGAGAGGACAAGATGATTGGATGGCGTCACCAACTCAATGAACATGAATTTAAGCAAGCTCCCGGAGATGGTGATGGCCAGGGAAGACTGGTGTGCTGCAGTCCATGGGGTCTCAAAGAGTTGGACACGACTGAGTAACTGAACAACATCAACAATGCCTCCAGTAGCTGCCTGAGCCATTTGGGAGTTCCAAAATAGGGGAAATAAAGGCAGGTCTTTGAGAATATCCTTCAGTGAGCCACCAGAAATGTTGAAACAAACAGCCCTCACTCTTGAGAACAAGGTTTGTTTCCCCTTCAGTACCCAGAACCTTCACCAAAGTTGTGGACTCTGTCATCTTCACAGCCATCACTGAGCTATGTAGTGGGGGGTCATTTGGGAGTTTTGTGCATTAAGCATTCACTTGGCTGCTGTAAACTTGATTAGTTTATCAATTTCTGATAAAGTTGATTCTGACAGTTTTTGTTAGTTTATTTCCTTCTTTAGTGAGGGATGGGCTGTTGCCGTTATCTACTCCACCTTTCTACTGAGGTCACTCGGGAAGTTTTCCTTTTAAGATACAAAACCCACCAACTATAAAGGAAAATGTTGATTTGTTTTCTAACTATCTAATAGCTAACTATCTATCAGTAAAATTTAATAAAAATTAAAATATTCTGTTCATCAGAATACATGGTGAAATTGGAAGGCAAGCTGCATAGTAGGAATAGATATTTATACCATATAAAACTGATAAAAGACTTGCTATCCAGAATAGATACAGAAATGTAATAATTAAATAAAAAGAATGACTCAATAAGGGGAAAATTGGGTGAAAGATTGAACAGGAACTTTACAAAAGAGAACATCTAAATAGCTGGTAAACATATGAAAAAGTGTTTACTCTTATTAACAATGAGGGGAGAAGAAAGCCACTTTAAGGTATTTTTACTGTCTATCACATTTGAAAAAAATATTACTGAAAATACTAGGTAGAGCTAAGTTGTGAAGTAAGACAAATTGTTACTGTTTTCTCTTGATAGACTTTTAAATTGGCTTAACCAATTGGGAATTTGTTGAAGATATTCACAGCCAGCAACCAGCAATTCTGTTTCTGACTGTATATATCCTAGAATTAATGCATATGGGAATTATGATACATGAACAAAAGTCATTCATAATGTCTCTAAAAAGGAAAAATTATGAACACTCTGCAAAGAATAATGGGCTTCCATTATTGATTTTATTTATTTATTATTGTAGGAATTCACAATGATGGGTGAGAATTCCTTTGCCAATGCCTTAGTTATCCTCCATGCTTATTCATTACTGCATTTATTCCAGATGTTTATGACTTTCCTAGAGAGATCTTTCCCACTTGTATTTCCCCCTTTTCTTGTCAAATAGATCTTAAATCCAAGCACCAAAGAAAAGAATATTAGTGAATGTCTTTTTCTCTCCCCACAAATTTCACTGCTTATCATCCCCACTTGCTTCCTCATTTCTACTTTTTCTTGTTTACTTGCAGTATCTTATATAATTGTATATCTTACATAATTGCTAGATCCAAGGGCATCTTTTCAGCTCTCATCTTACTCCTGTTGTCTCCAATAATTGGCATTTTGTAATATATCCTAACAGTTTCTTCTCTTTTCTCTTCCCTTATGTTTACTCTGTCTTGAGTTTCCTCTTTTGTCTCTAACAATTTCTTAGAGATAGGAAGACCAAATAATTTATCTTCCAAACTGAAATACTCTCATACCATCAACCTTTGGTCTTTTACATCTTTTCCTTGGATGACCTGAAATATTTGCATGACTGAAACTACCACCTTCAATGATAATTCCCGAAGTATATGTCCAGTCTAACTCCAGACTCATATTTCCAATAATTATTGTATATTTCCAAACTAGTAACCCAAAAGTATGTACCTGACAATATTTTTAATTTTTATTCATTTATTTATCTTTATTTTTGGCTGTGCTAGATCTTCGTTGCTGTGTGGGCATTCTCTAGTTAACATGAGTGGAGGCTAGTCTGTAGTTGTGGTGTGTGTGCTTATCATGGTGTCCTCTCTTGTTGTAGGACAAAGGCTCTAGGGTGTGCAGGCTTCAGTAGTTGTAGCACGTGGGCTCCGTAGCTGTGGCTCCTTGGTTCTAGAGTGCAGGCTCAGTAACTGTGGTGCACAGGCTCACTTGTTTTGTGGCAGGTGGAATCTTCCTGGACCAGTTACCAAACATGTATTGCCTGCATGGACAGGCAGTTTCTTATCCACTGCACCACCACGGAAGCGCTGTACCTCACAGTTTAATCTTACCTTCTCCCTCAAATTTCCTACTCTTTTGTTTATTGAGGGGGTGGAGGTGAATACTGTGTGTGTGTGTGTGTGTGTGTGTGTGTGTGTGTGTGTAAGTCTGGAAATCACACATGTATACTACTTTGTGCAGATGCTTCATTAGGCACTGGACACACAGTAGTGGCAAAAACTTAGTTCCATCATCATGACAATGCATCTGCTATGAGAGATAGACATTGACCAAACTGGCACGCATATAAATGTAGTATAAGTGTGCATAATTTCCATGAAGGAGAGAAACATGGTACTATGTGAAATACAGTAGGGGCATTTGACCTTTTTCTTCCCAATACTTGGCCTCTTTTATTAGATGTAAGTGGCAATATATAGCTCTTCTAAATTAGAGAAGAGCTCTAATTTAAGAAACCTCTGTTTCTTAAAATTTTTATTGCAATTCAGTATTTAAGTGTACTAGCAAATGTAGCCATTTTTCTTCTCAGAATTCCCATTCAGATATTGTTCATAAATCACAAGAATTAAGCCCAGAAATTGTGGCAGTACCTTTGGTATTGAAGATGTAGGTATGGAAACTAAATAAAAGAGCACCTGTGAAAGTAGTATTTCCTTTGTGAGAAAGACATGATGTGTAAAGATAAAGAGCACCTTTCTAGTCACAAAGTCTGGCTTCTGGTTTTTTCTTTGTACATAGTAATAGTTTGATTGAATGTTAATTGCTTATTCTTTCATCATACATATTTTGCCTCTTGTGCATAAAACTTGGAAGTGGTCAACTTGTCATTTTGAGATTAAAAGACCTATACTCACTAGTACTAGCCCAGAATATGAACTAAATTATACATAGCCCTAAATAACAAATTTTATAATCAACATAAATATTAATAATTTTAAAGACAAACAATCCACAGTATTTGTGCTACATTTGTATGTTTTTACAGAAGTGATGTTCACTTATATCAGTTGTGTAATGTATAACATAATAATAACAATAGCTAATATTTATTAAGTATTAACTACTTGTAAGTGCTAGGTAATTTATATGCATTATCTTATTTAGCCCTCAGCAGTAATCTGGTGAGGTAAATGCTATCATTTATCCACATTTTTTAGATAAAGGAAATGACAGTTTAAAAATTATATCTATCAGTGTCCCAGCAGAAGTCACAGCGTACCTAAATGGATAATTGTGAAGAGTTTAATAAAGGACTATGATATTTATAAAAGCATGGGAAGATTTTAGAGAAAGCAACAAAATATGATTCAGCACCCTGGAAATAGTAATAATGGGTATCATTAATACTCCTAGACCTAATGGGGCAAAAAAGAGAGCAGGTAATTGGAATCCAGAAAAGAGCTGTAAGCACAGGTCATCTAACAGGGCCTCTGATCTTAACCAGCCTACAGTGACCTGCTAGAGAGGAAGCCAAGAGAATAAATATCAGACTTTATTCTCCCAAAACTCTTCTGTTTCCTGATAGTACCTGTTACCTGACCCAGCTAGAAATCAGAGAGCACAAAATAGCTTGTTGATTCTATCTATACAGTTTAGTTTGGTGCAGAGAGAGTAAAGAAGGGTGGAGAATGAATCTGAAAGGGAAATGGAAAATACCTAGGAATTAAATAGCTGTTAAATGGCAGAGCCAGTATATGAATGCCAAACACTTTACTCCTCTCTACAATTCTGTACTGCCTCATAAAAAAGCTTTGATGAAATATTATTTGGCCAGGAAAATATATTGAATCTGAAGGTTTCTACCTTATCCCAAATTTTTGGATGCATTCATACTTAACAATAAGTGAGACCAAATATCTGAGAGCTGAGCAGGAAAGGATGTTCAGTCATTTAGTGTCTGACTCTTTGCATCTCCATGGGCTGCAGGATGCCAGGCTTCCCTGTCCTTCACCATCTCCTGGAGTTTGCTCAGATTCATGTCCATTAAGTCAGTGATGCCATTCAACCATCTCATCCTCTGCCACCCCTTTCTCTGGCCTTCAATCTTTCCCAGCATCAGGGTCTCTTCCAGTGAGTCAACTCTTTACATTAGATGGCCAAAGTATTGAAACATCATCTTCAGCATCAGTCCTTCAAATGAATATTTGGGGTTTATTTCCTTTAGGATTGACTGGTTTGATCTCCTTGAAGCCCAAGGGGCTCTCAGGAGTCTTCCCCACCACCACAATTTGAAAGCCTCAATTCTTCAGCAGTCAGCCTTCTTTATGGTTCAACTCTCACATCCATACATGACTGCTAGAAAAACAAACCTTTGACTATATATTGACTGTATGCGCCCCACCCCACTCCCCTGCAAAACAAAAAAACAAAAAACAAAGAAAACTGTTGGGTGTGGGTATTGATTTTGCATGTTATTGGTATTTTCAGCATATTAAACCGTGCTTGCTCCTCTTGTTCAGATTCCAGACTCCATCATTTCTCGTGGCGTTCAGGTGCTCCCACGAGACACAGCCTCCCTCAGCACTACTCCTTCGGAATCTCCTCGTGCTCAGGCTACATCTCGCCTTTCTACAGCTTCCTGCCCGACACCAAAAGTAAGTATAGTTCCTTGGCACCTTACACCTGCTCTGCTATGTACATCTGGGAAAACTAACCAGTATTTCCCTCTGCTTGTCAAGGTTGGATTGCATGTAAGATATTACAATGAAAAATTAATAGGCTATAACATAGTTATCACCTGATGTTTCACAAATTGTTGTATTAGGCCAACAATAGAAATTTCATTCAGAATGCCTACTACCTCACAGCTATAGGTATCACTTTCTGTAACTCCTGTTTCTTTGTTGTAGACTAATTATTTTTTAGCATACTTATTTGTATAGATATGAAGTTATTTATTTATGCAGAGGATGAATGTGTTTCTGGCCAATAAACAGCAAGATTAACAAAACAAAATGACATCACCAAAAGGATTTTTTTTTTTTAACTTGTCCAGGCAGGGGTAACTCCTTGCTCTAGTATCATTCCAAATTTTTTCAAACATATTCAACTTGGAATGTTGCTGCCTAATATTTGGAAACAAATCTAAACTGATAGAAAGTTTTAATGCCAACCTTTGGGGGAGGGAGGAAGTATCTTAGTATTTATTTTTTATAATTTTTCCCGAGTACTGAAACAGTGAGCCAGGGAGAGGATTAGATATTTATTTGCTGCCTGACATTTTCATGTGTGTGGTAAACTGAGTAGCAAACCTAATTATGACTATGATACTTTTTCTTAGAATATCTCTTCCCTGTAAAGTTAGTCATTTGTAGTTTCAAGTTTCCATAGGATGGATCCACTATTGGCATCAAAAGCAAACAGTAACATTCCTTCTTATTTAGTAGGATATGATTTTAGCTATCAGGCAATACAGTAAATTTACTTCAGAAATCTGTAGGTAATTTTTCAAACTATGACTTTTTCACTGTCATCAGATTTAAGGATTGATATAGCTACCTTCCTCAATTCCAACTTTTCTGTTAGTTTTATGAATGTTATTGAATTTAACTGGAAGTGATCTCAATCAGTTCTTGAAATGTGTAGTTCAGTTGCTTTTACATTCCATGCTACATCCTTTTTAGCAGCCTTCAGAGTGTTAACTGTTGAATATAATCTTTAGACTTGTGTCAAAAGTCACTGATAATTAATTGTATAGTTTAAAAAAATGAGGTCTTAAATCTTCATGAAGAAAAACTATAAAAACATTCTAGATATAAAATGTTTGTTATATGTTTATACATTGAATGCCAGCCAGCTGCATCGTCAACTGAAGGAAAACATGGAGTTACCAAGACATAAATTGGGTAGAAGAATCTCATCCATATCTTACAAATTTTTAAAACAGAATGATTTATTGTTTGACTTCACTAAATCCTGGCTGTATAAGTTTACTCATTTATGAAGTCTGAGAAACAATTAAAGCTAAACGTTAAGTCCACTATAGAAGATTACTTATTCATCAAACATTAGGACCTTAATGATTGGAATGTGGAATTATCTAAGACAGTATATTTTTCTTAGTGTTGTACTGTGTACATAAATATTGAAAGCTAAGTTTTATCTAAGTTCTTGGACCTTTTTAAAACTTCGGAGTTCTGTTTTAATTACTAGGAGAATATTAAATACAGTTGTTTTAACAATTGCTCCAAAATCCACATTTATTATTTTGCTTATTTCAAAACTTTAGGATAACAAGTGGCTTGTCTTGATATTTTTTCCATAGATAACACTTTGCTGTTCAAACTGACAATGAATTCAAATAAAACAGTTATTTCAAAATCTTTTTTTTTTCTCAGAAATTTTTCTTATGTATTTTTGCCTAGGAATATGATTCTGTTTCTTTTAAATAATTTTACCAACACCAAAATGTAACCTCAAAGATAAAATTATTGCTTTGGTATTATTTAATTTTAAAATTGAACTTTTAAGGTTGAATCAGAGTAGTAATATAATAGAAAAACTAATTTGAATACTTTTTAGAAAAAAGTGAAGACAATCAAACTACTCTTCCTATTGAAAGTCTCAAATTATAAGACTGCTTAATTAATGTATACTAGATGCTTTAACAGAGAAGGCAAGGCAACCCACTCCAGTACTCTTGCCTGGAAAATCCCATGGGCGGAGGAGCCTGGTAGGCTGCAGTCCATGGGGTCGCTAAGAGTTGGACATGACTGAGTGATTTCACTTTCTCTTTTCACTTTCATGCATTGGAGAAGGAAATGGCAACCCACTCCAGTGTTCCTGCCTGGAGAATCCCAGGGACGGGGGAGCCTGGTGGGCTGCCATTTATGGGGTCACACAGAGTTGGACACGACTGAAGCGACTTAGCAGCAACACCAGCAGCAGATGCTTTAACATGTACTTTTATATCAGTGATAGATGTAATCTCTTCCCCCATAGAGTTTACAGTTTAGTCAAAGGTATGCTGAAACAAATAGGTATTTTTAAAATAAATTTATTTAAAATAACCTTTAAAAATTATAATAAATAAAAAATAAAACCTTTAAAATAATGTAAAAATAACCTTTCAAATTATAATAAATATACTTTTATAATAACTTAATAATGATGCATTGAAATTCATGCTAAGAAAAAGTGGAAAAGTGTAGTAGAAAGTACAAGGAGGGAAATCTCAGATTGGATGATTAGAGAAGGCAGCTCTAAGGAGTAGCATTTCACCAAGGACATGACAAATGAGGAAAACAAAATAACAGCTTTTTTGCCAGGTGGAGGTTTTGAGAATTACGTTCAGCAATAACGACCACTTTAATAATAGTATTCACTAATCAAAAACTCTCTGTAAAACTTCTTTAGTACATGAATAACCTAATTCAATGACTTCAAAATCCAACTTCAGATCAATTCTTCTTTATTTTAAATAATGATTCTTTTCCTTTTGCATACTAAGTAAAATTCAAGGCCATAGGTTTTAGCACATAAATATATTCTAGATAAATTAATTTTATAGCATAAAAATGTAAGACAGAGAAGAAATAAAAATGAAGGTCAGGGTTCTAATTTAAATTTTGGGTAAATGATGTTGTTAACTATACTAAGGAATGAAAAAGCAAAGGGAAATTGTTAATGCATTTTGGTTTTGAAAGTTTTCAGTCTAAGCTATGAGACATCCCAGGAATGTTATCTAGCACAAAATCAGAACACAGGTTGAGTCTGACATCATTATTGTTACTACATCTTGGATGGAATGTTTATAATTTAGTACATATTACTGTTAACCACACCCCATAAAAATCCCCCTCCCATGTTTCAGATTAGGTATGCAATCTGTCATGTGCAGCAAAAAAATATGCAAATACATTTTCCTTACATTGAAAATGCAGTACAGTTTTAAAAGACCAACACTAGAGAGAGCACTTGACTTAATATTAGAAGTCCTGGTTTCAAATACTGACTTCTGTACCTAATAACTACACTGCATTAAGTTGTTCAACTTCTCTGAGCTTTTTGTCTATAATAAAACTGGTAATCCTTGCCTGCCCAACAGGGTTATTAACTATTAAATAAGTCTTTGCCTGGTGCTGGGAAAGCAGTGGTAGGCAAATAACACTATTCTTGGCTTTACAGACAGATAAAGCAGGCAACTATAAATTATAATAAAGTGTAATAAATTTTATGATTTATCAGCAGAAGTACAGAATACTCTGGGAATAACCATCAGAAACACTTATCCTAGTCTTTGTGAAAATACGAAAGGCTTAAATAACCAAATTATGATTAAAACTAACAGTTCCAACCTTTTCCTCTGTAACATTTTATCACGGGGCAGCATTTAAGCTGGAAATTCCCTGTCCATTTGTATGTATGCATCTATTCCTGTTAGATAAACAGCTATAATGTTGATATTACAAATAATTTTGAATTCACATCTTATTTGCTCTCTGCAATATTTTTTCCAGATTGTGCTTTAATCCATTAAGATTCTCCACCTATAGTGAAAACATGATCTATCAAACAAATCAAGTTTGGATTTCCTTTTCTGTACACTCATCACAATCTCATAAAGACAGCGTATTATCTTTTCTAAAGTTCTATATAGAATGGCATTGTCTCCAGCAAAAATTTGTTTGCTGGGATGACATAGTATTTTTCTGTGTATGGGGAAATTCTTTTCTCCTTAATATCAGATATTTTCTTTTCATGAAATCTGACTGAAATGACAAATGATTTTCACTCCTTTGGTTTGAGGACACAGTGAAATGTATTTTAACAGCAAACTTGAGATTTTAGTCTTACATTGCCCTAAGTAAAATAGTTTCTAAGCCAAAAAGTCAAATAATATGTAGATTCTATGAATGGGCAATCTCTGGAGGACTCAAATTATAAAATGGTGATCATCTCCCAAAAAATGGTTTGCTAAAAGCATAATTCTATAACAAATTCTGTTTTAAAGTGAATATGATTCACAAATGAAATAAGTTCTGCTTTTCAGTTATGAAAGGCAGTAACATCTCTTTTAGAATCAAGAGGCTTGATGTAGAGAAAAATGACCAGAACTGAAAAGAAAAAAAATCCAGACTTTCAATCAATTCACCACTCCCTGTCAATGTCATTAAAAAGAGAATTTTTTACAAAGACCAGTTCCGTTTTCCTTTTATTCCCTAAGTATCTGAAGTTTGACTAAAATAAATATATGAGTAAAGGTAATCTCTGCACATACTCCCTTGTACTTCAAAGGTTAGAATAGAACTTTGTGCACAGACTAACCAGCATGTTATTTTTTCTCTTCTTAGAAAGAAAATATAAATTAATTTTCCTATCTAACTAAAGTTTGTAAAATAATTTTTAAATATATATTAAAGTATCCTTATGGAGTATGTGTTCCTTTAATAATAATGTCTAATCTTATATTCAAACAAAATGCAGAATTATAACCTCTCTAGGCTTCTGTTATTGTCCTTTGAGCAAAGGAATTTAGACTACTCTGGATAAAGAATATTTTCTTAACTCACAATTTTTAATGTGTATATCTGAAAGGAAGTGAATTTCCTTTCCATATAAAAATGGCATTATTTGATCTACTATCAAGGTAATA